CCTTAAAAAGCAGAGACAATATTTTGCTTGCATAGTTGATGTTTTAGATAGCACTCTGCTGGTTGCAAAGCAAGGACCGAGGCCCTCAGCTATAAACGCTGGGCTTGTGTGCTGTTAGATATTCTATTATCCCCAAAACAAGGACCTGGCTGGTCTGGTGGTCTGCTTTGTAATTCACATATCTAAAAATGTATCTTGTTCCCCTCACCCCATTACTTCCTTAAAATTAAACAAATCCTTTTTAGTCATTGTGTATTCTACAATCTCTGCCTCACCCTGTCTTTCCCGAAGTTCCTCCTTACTATCACACAACTGTTACTGAATGTTTCCTTTGATTATACACAATAAATATGGGAGCATTTGAGAGGCTCTTGGAGTTGGCTCCCTACTCCCTCTCGATTTCTTGACTTTTTCCACAGAGTCTTGAATAATCATTCTGTATCTGTAAGACTTCTGCCAGTCAGAACCCACAGTTCCAGGTGAGAACGACGCAGACTTTATTTCTACTACCAGATGGAGAGAGAGAAGAGAATTTAGATCTGCTTCCTCGTGGTCCCTTCCTGCCCCAGGGCCACTGCAGTTCACCTGCAGCCTTCTGGCCTCTGCTCAGAGGGCCTCTGTCCCAGGACTGACTGCAGCCTTTTCTTCCCTTGTCAACATTTGCTGTGCGTTTCAGAAGTTGGTCTCTTCTCTGCAATACAACACTGGCAGATTTGATGGTGGTCAGCTTGCTGGTGGGTAGTACTATGGGGACTCCCAGGAGCCATGCTGATTCTCCTGAGTCTCACAATCGGGGTTACAGAAGAGTCGAGCACCGTAGGAAGCCCATTCACGTGAGGTCAACACAGCATTGTATCACTTCCATTTTATTTTTAAATTTTCAGTGGAGAAACTATTTGTAGCAAATTGTTCCAGATTTTCGGCCGCCTACTTTCCTCACCACGATTTCCTTGTTGGCTCTGGTACTTGTTTTAAGAACCAAGTTTCTTCTCTGTTCTTTTGTAGCTGCTGGGCTTGCCCAATACTTGATCTGTATTTGAAGCAGAATGTTTCTTCGTAATGTCAAACTGATTTTCGTATTTCTGAATATTTCATGTACACTGAGCAACTGTTTCAAGTGAAATGTTCTTGTCCAATTCCGGTTAACTCACATTTGCTGATCTCCTGCTATCATGCTGAGAACAGTTTCTTCTTGCTCTAACAAAAGTTAGCAATTTGCATTTACTATGGAAGGTACTTGCCCGAGGTGCTTTTTTTCTTAAGAGTTTTAATACAATTCACCCATTAAAATGTACAGCAGTTTTTACTCTAGGCCCAGAATTGTGCATCGCAGTCAATCTTAGAACATTTTCATCTCCCCAACAGGAAGCCCTGTACGCATAAGCAGTCATTCCCATCTTCCCATCCTCCCCCAGCCCCAAGGAGCCACTCTTCTCTCTCTGTGGGTTTGCCTGTGCTGGATATTTCATGTAAATCGAGTCACTTCTTGTAAGTGGACCCGTCTATTGTGACGGACTTCTTTCACACTGAGTAGCGTTTTCAATGTTTGTCCAGGTTGTGGCCTGGGTCAGTGCTCTATGCTTCGCTATTGCTAAATAATATTCCACTGTATGGCTGGGCCCCATTGTTTACCCATTCATCACGTGATAGGCATTTGGGTTGTTGCTGCTTTTTGGCTGTGATGAGTAGTGTTGCCGTTAACATTCCTTTAGGAGTTTTTATGTGGACATTTGTTTTCAGTTCTCTTACGTGTGTGCCCAGACAGCAGAATTCTGGTTCATTCAGAAACCAAATGTTCAACTCTCTGAAGACCTGCCAGGCTGTTTTCCAAAGTGGCCACGCTGTGTTACATCCTCACCAGCAAGGGCTGCGCGCTCCGCTTCCTCTGTGTCCTCATTAGTGCTTGTTATTCTTTTTTTTATTATAACCTATTGTAGTGAGTGTGAAGCGGTTTCTCCTAGTGGTTTTGACTTCATTTCCTTTACAGCTAATGATATTGAATATCATTTCATTGTGCTTATTGGACATTTGTATATTTTCCTTGAAAAATACCTTTTCAGATCCTTTATTCACCTTTGAATTGAGTTGCCTTTTTAGTGTTGAGATGTAGGATTTTTTTTTTCTCTTACATTTGGAGATACAAATTCCTAATCAGATAAATGATTTGAGAAAATTTTCTCCTGTGTGTTGTTTTTTCACTTTCTGGATGGTGCCCTTTGAAGCAAAGTTCTAAATTTTGATGAACTCCAATTTATCTCTGTTTTCTTTGTTCCTTGTGCTTTTGGGGTATTATTTAAAATCTGAATTATTTTATTTAAACTTGTATATCTAAAATGACTTAATTCATAGGACCATTCTAGGAGATGGGTGTGGTTGTTCTCCCCTGTCTATGGATAGAAAACTGAGATGCATAAAATTTCACTGAAATATCAGTGTCACAGCTACCCAGTGCTGTGGGAGTTCAGACCCTCATGTTTGTCCCCAGCAACTGTGCTCTTCACCACCATGCTCCACTACTGCCTGGAATCGTTAATGAAAACGTCTTTCCTTTTTTGATTTCTTGATAGTTTGTTTTCTCATTGGGGACCTCATCTCCTCATTTTCCTTTCGGAAACCAGTGTAGGTTTATTTTAGGTCTCATGTAGGGAGAAGCATTGCTATCAGTTAACTTCTTTATTATTCAGTCTCCAGTGATGATTGTTGCTAGTTGACCTAATCAAGTCATGCTTAAGTCTTTCCTGCTCATGACACTAAAAACAGTCATGACTTACAGAATGCTCAAAGAAGGAAGTATTTGATTGATTTTATTTTGCTACCCAATCAAACCAATCAAATAAAAACCCCGGTGTTGACACAGATTATAAGCCCTCCAGAATAGGGTCACTGTCTTCCTTGTGTTTCATTGATTCGGTCACAGTGTCTGGATAGTGCCTTTCAGTCCAGCAATTTTGTGAGGATACGGTGCTCGTGAATCATTGTAAGGACAGAATTTTGACAATAGACTGTGTTGTTTATTTTATAAGGGAATAGATAATATAGAAATACTGCTCAGATCTATTTTAAAATTAAGCTTGGAATTTTGAGAAGAATTCAAGGAACCATACAAAAATCTTTTTCACTAATTTTAGATCTATCTTAGACCCTTTGTGGTTATATAGCAGAATAACTTATCTAGTAGATTTGACAAGAGGAGTGTAGTATTGATTATTTGTTTTAGTTGAAATATTCCTACTGGGATAAATTAATCAGTGCCTATAAATGAACAAATATGTTTGTATGTCTATGCAACATGAGAGCAGGCTTCATATGTTTCTATATAATATATATGATTGTGTGTTTTAATCTGTCTGACAGTGTTTTTATAGTTTTTAAGCAATGTTGTAACTTTAGAATTCTCCTAAGAAATTCACTCCCCTTATACAGCAGTTTGTACTGTGTATCTTGTCTTATG